CCCCATGCAATCCTTTCGCTCCTCCCTTCTCGCAGTCCCTGGTTCTGCCGAAATGATCTGCGCTACTTATGGTGGCTCCGTCAGCTTGTGGACCGTCCGATCCTATCTATCGGACCCCACTTCTGGATTCAATAATCCGAGGAGCGTGTTTAAATGCCCATGTATTTTTGCTAGCGTCTTTTTCCTTCTCCCCTTCTAATTGCCATGCCTCGTCAGTATCTAATCCTCAGTAATCTAATAAAGATTTTCGGTTATTGAATCCTTCTTATAAAGTAATATTTTCCACCACCTTCTGAATGCAATCTTTCTGTTCCCACTTTTTCGTTTGTTAATGAAGCTTGCCACGATCTTATTATTTGCACTTCCAATTCTTACCGTCAGTTCGTAGAAGTTACCCCCAATTATATTTTGATGGGATTGGATTCTTTTTATGGCAAAGGGGCATCTTAAGGGAGGGTGCCTTCGTGGAGCCGTTTCCGGGAAACTGGCTCGTCTCCCCGTTACCTGGGGCAACCCACGAAACACCCATGTGGCCAGTCCGTTCGCGGGATTCGAACCTCGGACGAACTACCGTGTTCAGTGTCTTTACCGCTCGCCTGCTGTGGGCTTTATTAAGGAATGACCATCTAAGTTAGAAACCGCGTACCGTAATAGCAATTCATTATGGCGCCGTATCTTTCATGTTACTCCCGATTGGCAGCTACATATTTTTTGGTATTGGGGTTTGCTAGTAACTTCACTTGAAAATCGCGCTTAACTAGGTTAGTTGGTTTTGAACCTAGAAGAATATGGGAGCTATTTGGTTACGATGCTTTCATAGAGAACCTTGTAAGAGACCCTAGAACTACAAAAACCACCACAGCCTGGGTTAGATTTTGCAACAAACATTGGTATTTAACATCTTCAAATGCTAGTAACTGGTGAGGCTCCATTAAATCTCCCAATTAATATTTTATTTGTAAATATTTAAATATTTTGTATTCTTAGACACAAAAAGCAGAATTTAAGTTTTGTTAACTCGTTAGTAAACTACCAAGCCGTAGTAGTTGACTTAAAATAAAGGCTGTGAATTACGCATATGACTTTTAATCTTACGTTTCAGTCAGAAAAAGAATTCCATGTTTTGTATGCATGACAATGCATCTTTCATTATTCAATAACCAGTCGGAGAACCGCTTGCGTTCCGAACTAATATGTGTACTCAATCGTCCTGCATGCTCTTCAAATTGTTCTTGTGCTTTTTTTTCTTCCCAAAAACTAAGTTGCCTCTCAAAGGAACGTTTTTTGACATTGAAGAGACAAAGGAGTATGAGATCTACTTTCAGAGGCATGTCAAAACCGATCTCTACCAAGCCTTCTCTTCCATTACATGTTGTGCAGTCAGACAAAAAGTTGCATCAGCGTAAATTTATAATCTATTTTTATTACACTCTGATTACTTTATTAATACAGTGAATATATACTAAAATCTTTTACTTCAGCTTAAGTAATTCGGAATTTTTCGGAACTAGGACTTAGAAGATAAGTCAAATTAATATTCGATAAGCCAAAATTCAAGGTCGACGTTTCAATATTTTATTTTCGGGAGGGGAACATTTTTTAGTTTTGGTCCATTATCCTAAGTATATTTGCTTCAATTCTTATTTTTCCATAAAAGCGAAAAATTTACGCATGGTCTCATATAACGCATAGCTTCAAATGAAAATTTAATCATACAGTGGTTATAATTAACGTTCCACATTGAAACGGTCATAAAAGGAAAACTACTGGATCAAGGTTATCAAACTTCGTAATCGTGTAAAGGAGGTAATAGGAATTTATTTTCCGCGAAAAAAGGAAGTTCGAACCTCACCACCAGGGGGAAAATGGCGGCTGTATGCAATATTGTTAAATATGGGTCGGAATTCTAAACCTTTTGTTACCGGGTTTAATATGTTGTATACCCTTAAGAACTATGAGGCAAATTACCATTTTTTTAAAGCGTTAAATTCGATAAAGTCGAGTGCCGCTTCCGTGTAGTGAGAAATTAGTCCGTGAAAACCACGAATTAGCGATTAGAAAATGTGAGATCGCAAATCACTCGCACCAGTGCGTACAATCTGGAAATCGTTTTCTTACAGATCGCTAATTTGTAATTTTTGAAGCCTGAATTCAGCACTAAAACATGAAGATATTGATTCAAAACGCTTTTAATCGATTTGGGTCAAAGAAATCCCTTATGTTATCTATCTTGTTCCATTGCATTCTCCTACTACATTCGATTGCATAGCAGTCATTCCACACCGTTTAGTGTTGAATGAGAGCTAGTTTTATAACTGAACCATTTTTCTCTGAAAAGCAGTCGACAGCTGGACCACTGTGATTGCAGCTCACTTAGAGTCAATGTTAAAATGTTTCGTGATACATGAACTGCAGTAACGTGGCATTTTAGATACTAAGATTTTTATGCAGGGCTGGGCACCACCTCACGTGTGTCGCACAGTTACTTAGGCAACATTTCACGAATGAACGTCTTATAGGCCAACACTTCCTCTCTTCCCACCAGACCTCAACCTCTGTGACTTTTGGCTATGGGGTTATCTCAAAAGCACTGTTTATGGTGATAATCTAAACAATTTGGCAGAAATGAAAAATGTGGTCCGAGGTTCGAATACCGCGAACAGGCTGGCTGCATGGGCGTTTTCGAGGTTTTCCCCATGTGTAACGTGTATGCGAGCCAGTTTCCCTTAGAAAATCCTCCACGAAGGCATCCCTCCCTTTTGGCAGACAGCCCTAGTGTGCTTTGTCATAATTAAATAAACCAAAACCTCTTGATGAAACCAGTCTTTCCTTTCATCTCATACCTTCAAAATGCTGTCACACACGGTACACATGAGAAAATCCACAAAAACGCCCATGCAACCAGCCCGTTTACCGGGATTCGAACCCCGGAGTGAACTACCAGTGTTCAGTGACTTTACCGCTCGGCCGTTTGTGGACCTTTATGAAATGGAAGGCGATAACTTTATTTAAAATGATTGTCAGAAATATCAAGACATATTCGAAAAGTTGGATGCTTTTTAATATACTTGCAGAATGCCTAAAGAAAAAGAGCAAGAATAAAGTAGAATGCCTGAAGAAAATGAGAAGAAAAAATAAATTTTTGCGTAAAATTTAGTATTAGTATTTTTTTAAAATTTAAAACCTTTTAATCTTATGATATTTGATTCTTGCGATTTCAAAAATAAAATATTTGACTAAAATATGAATAACATTTTAAGAAACCAAATGTAGGATAAAATTGTGTAAAGCAATGAGCACAATGATAAAACTGCTTAAAGCAGTGTATGCAAGTCATCCTAAGTTAAAATGTCGGTTATATATCTCTCTTATTTATATATACTTGTTCTGAACGGAACATTGAAAGGCGTGTTAACTGTGCTTTACTGTATTTTCTCTTTTAATATATGCAGTTTTCAAACGCATCGTAGTCTGGGTTACAAAGTATTCTTCCGAAAGAAACGCAATTCAAATAAATAAAAATTCTGGAAAATTTATATTAATAAAATATTTTAAAATGCTCAGTTAGAAGGAATAAATAGAAAATTTTAAAACAATTATCTGAAGAGACATGCAATACAAACAATTGAATAAAGGTATAAAAATTTAAAAATTACCTAAAATAATAACTACGACAAAAATATATATAAAGAAAACTATTTGAAAAAAAATAAAATAAAATAACACTGCACCTTTAATTACGCAGTTCGAATAGGTAATAGAAAAATTTTTTAAACGGTTGTTCGGGAAAAAAAAAAAAAAAAAAAAAAAAAAAGTGCAACTTAACCAATTAAAATGAAATTCGAAAAAGAAAAAATTACTTAAAATAATAAGTTATAATTAAAATATAATATAAAGAATATTATTGGAAAAAAGGAACGATGGTGACTTTTTTTTCCTCTTACGGGAAAGGAAACTAGGTTGCCGTATATTAAGAAGTTCGCCAAGTGAACTATTCTTGGCGCAAACTGAAAAAAAAGTGCCAACATAAATTTGTGAATTTCTCCGTAAATTTCGCTCCAAATTTTATAAAATTTCATATTTAGGCGTAATTTGAGTTGTAGAATCGAAATATGTAAAAAAAAATTGGTATGTTATTTCAGAAAAAGTCCGATTTTGTGTCAAAATACCTATGTTAGAATAGCGCTATATATAAATCTAATATATATCTTAAGTCGCGCTTTCGAGACATGAAGAACGCAATTTGAATTTTGTCAATCGGCCCAGTAGAACGGGAGATATAGCACTGTCCCATATTTTTTTTTGAGCAGTGTACATTCTGAGTAAAACACAGACAAAATTTTAGAAGCTAAGACATTAATGCCTGTTTGTAACTGAAATAACTACCTCACTGTAAAAATAAAATACTATCTTACTGAGAAAAAATAAACTGCCAAATCTAAAGAATTATTACAACAATGTTAACAATCCAAAGGTGACAAACTACCGTAACAACATATATAAAAAATTAACTCAATAATAGCGTAAAATTAACTGGGAATTAATAAAAAAGAAAAGCAAATTCAGAAAATGGAAAATTAGCAATCTGGCTTTAAGATTTTCATCAAAAGTAATATACCTAATAAAACAACCAAAGATCGAAGTACTGTCTGCAACTCACGGAGCCTACAATGATGACGTCAGAGGTCATACTATGAACAAAAAAATCACGTGATCTTTGATGACACATGCTGCTTTTTGATTTTTCTCTTGCTACTCTAGCTCAAAAATTTCTGGCTGCACTGGTTCTGTGCACAACTTGATTTTATAGAACTCCCTTTTACTTCATTAGCGTCTCATATACGTCAAATAAAATCATTTCCTTGCAACCAGAATTATACTTAATCTTATTAACTGTGCTTAAATAATAAAATTAATGTATTAAATGCATGCTCTACTATGCAAAATACAAATCAGTGGATAATTATGAATATTCTTCTAATACTTTTATGTGCACTTACCACCAGTTACAAAAGCTCCGGGTGCCTCTGTAAGCCAAGCAACGCATTTGATAGAAACTGCTTTACTGGGAAGGCTGTATGTTGTGACTATAGTAGCTATTTCAGTCGATGCGTCAACAAGTTGCAGTCGACCACTTGCAGTACATATTAGTAAATAGTTTTGGGAGAACGGATCCCATAAAAGCCAAGAAATAGAATTTCCATCACTTAATGAGCTCGAATCCGATCCCGAAATCCGTACGTGTTTTTGAGGCATTTTTCCTGGAAGAAGTAAGAAATGTGAAGAACATGATTATTTTTAACTGTATACTCAAATAGCCACATAGTTAATTCCACCCTGAAACCTTCCTTCACCACCCTGAAATTCTGATTTTACATTAAGCCTTCAGTTGTAAAAAAATCAACTAAATAGGTTTTCCTTTTCTTAAAGAATGTTTAATTTTTGCATATATTTCCATAAAAGGTTTTAAATTTAGAAAAACAGGCAATTTCAATAAGGACTTTTATGGTAATTGTTATAAACTCCATATAAAAATTTTTATGTGCGTAACAATAACTTTTAACTTCAGACTTGCAAGGTCTGTTATTGTCAGTAATTAAAATATTTATATTAATGTAATACTTTGAAAAAGCTATGCTATTGATTCGAGATCCTACCTGCCCATTAGAGATTGGGGAGCTGGTCTTCATCAGTCTGAGAGCAAGACATTGTTCTCCCATTAGCGAAGTAATAAATAAGAGTGCACCCAAACAATGGACTTGAATATATTACGCGGCAAGGACGAATGGGCTACCAAATGAAGAAAGAAGCGAAACGTTCTGCGATCTAGAGGCTCAGACATCCAATTACTGTATGAAAGATCTGATGTTCGATTCCTATCAGATATTACTAAGCATTTACAGCCCAATGTATTCTTTTTAGTAAAAAAGGTGTTCATTTATATTAAAGCTCTCTTGAAACAATAAAAATCGTTTAGTAAAATTAGTTGGGTATGAGCTCAGACAGCAAAAAGAATTTTAACAGTATTCAATGCAGATGAAAAAATTAATACATTTCAAAAAAGAGAAACATTTATCAAATTATAAAAAAGCTTTTTTTTTTTTTTTTTTCTTTGGTTTGCTAAAGTAGCGGGATTTGCGAGTCATTTTTATGTCATTTACAAACACAAGTGTTATACTCAGAACATTTGGGGCTGCAAATTTGAATGGAATATTGGTTCCATTTTGCAATATGTTAACCTTGATGTCATTACATGAATTTCAGTCTGCTGTAAATTTTTTCCGAACGTTTTGTGAAAGCTTTTTCTTTCTTTAGATTAGCAGTATGTGAGTTTAAAAGAACAATGTGGTGATATTTATAGTGATGCCTGGAATTGATTGTGATTACGAAATCAAATAAAATAGAAGGGTTAACTTAGTTTTATAAATATACAAAATGAAATGGAAACATTCAGACTTTGCGTAAGTTTATATTCTTTTACCCAAAATTAAATTCATGATTTAAGTAACATCTGTGTAATGCTGTTTCAAAATATTTCATTTTCCACTCTAATATGGCTTTTAAAAATAAATGCAAATTCCAGGGCATAGAGGAACAGTATGTTGAAACTGATGAAAATATATTGGTAGAAATTTTCATTCAATTTATTTTGAATTACTGCTTTGGTTGTAGAGTCATTAGGATTTTTTTGAAGGAGACGTGAAAAAGGTGAAATGCCCTCCCCGGGACTCGAACCTGGACCTCTGGAATACGCGTCGAGTGTGCTACCTTTACACCACGAAGGCACGCTAGAAGGAGGGAGAAAATATCTTATACAGTACTCCTTTTAAAGGGCGACTTGGGATTAGGGGACCCAATTGCCGAATCCTGGTGGGGACAGGTGACAGGTGACGGAGGACGGGGACGCCTGGTGTTTAACATAGGTAAACAGGCGTGTGTCCCACGTCCTCCCCTATCTAGGAATAACAACTCCCTGGGGCCCCGTGAGGCTGCCTCGGGAGTTTATAATACATATCTAAAGATCAATACATGGCCAAACAGGAGATGAGGATTATTGTTTGACAATGGTTGCGTGACAATAACTTTGTGGGTGTGCATGGCTGTTGGAATAACACAGCTACATAAAAATATACAAAACAAATACAAGAATAGATACATGTACAGGCAAAAACAAACAAATACTAACAGATACGAACATAAGGATGCATTGATATTAAGATAAATATGAAGAGTGACACATATGTAAGATACAAGAGTAAAAACAAGAGTAATACAAGAGTAAAAACCTAAAATACTTAAAAAAAAAAACTAAAATACAGAGTGGGGTAAAGGGAGTCATATGTGTATTGCTGGTATCCTTGTGGTTGTAAATGTGCTGTGAGTACTTAAACACAGAGATGAAGCAATGAGTACTGGATGTAGAGTTATGGCGCCAGGAGTTAGTGTTAGAGTTCGCTGAAAGTACAGTCTGCACTATAGTTCAAATTTGCAAGAGTTCAGGCTACACTAAAGTTTAGTGTACATTGTGGTACTAATAGCACTAAATTTTTTTGGAGTTTGGCACAATCACTAAGTTTTAATGCAACTGCTATAGGTTCGTACAGTCGCTACAGCGCAGACACTATGTTAGGCACAGTAATTTCAGTACACAGTCACAATGGTTGCACAGTTACTATGACTGTGAACAAGTTTAAGAGAATTATCTAAGTCACGGTGTAGGTACTGACGTTCACTGATGTGTGCACTTATGTAGTGCTTAGGCATAGTCGGAGTTGGTGCATGATGTATACGTGCGGTGTACCATGCATTGCAATATGTTGGAAGGTGATGTAGGCATTCGAAGGCACTTTGAGTTGACACAGTTGGTACTCTGCTACCACACCGGTAAGGTAAGTTCTAAAGAAGATTGACGTGTGCACATAAAGTTGAAGGCTTGGTGGTGGGGAGCTTTTGTTTAAAAACTTGTGGGGGTGGCCCCTGAGTGAAAAGCTTTTGAAAAGGTGGATAGTCGGTAGGGGGGACGAAAAGATGATCGTGCTTAAAGAGTTGCTGGATGGGTCTTGGTCTATTGCGGTGAGCAGATATCTTGGCCCATTGCCCCGATTTGAGTGATATGGCTGGCTTGTGAGTGATGATAAAGCGGTGGTACGCATCTGTGTTCATGGTTGGACATGGGAGGTGATGGTCTTTTGTCAGCTGGCAGGTGAAAAGATAGTGGTCTGGGTTGCCTGGGGCTCCACAGACGCATATATCTGTTGATGAAATGTTGTGCCTTTGGAAGTAGCTGGGGAATGGGCCGTGTCCCGTGATATATCGTGTAAGCGGAGCGATTGCGATGTGTCGATCCGTGCTGACTTTTGGGAAGAAATCGTAGGTGCGGCGGCTAGTTGTGCTATGGTTCCACTCCTCCTGCCATTGTTGGAGCCCTTTACTCCGGAGCTGTCCCTTTAGGTAGGAAGGTGGGGCTTGAAGGTGGATCTGCTGTGCATTTGAGTCATTACTGCCTGATTGGCTAAACGGTCTGCTGACTCATTGCCTTCGTTGCTGGCATGTGCTTTTATCCATATCAGCGTCGTGTACATATGGGAATTTTGCTGCAAGAGGTGCTGAAGGGTGATGACTAGTGGGGATCTGTGCTGATGGTTCAGGAGGGCTTGAAGTGTTGAGTAGCTGCCTGTATGAAGTGTGGCATGAGTTAGATCATTATGGACCATGTGCTGCCGTGCTGCTGTGATGGCCAGGACCTCCGCTTGGAAGATGCTGTTGTGATTTTGCAAACGACCTTTCCATTCTTCTTCTATCAGGCCATCCTGGTAGTGGATGTAGGCACTGCCTACACCTTCCTCCTGTTTAGAACCATCTGTAAAATTGTGGGTACCTTGTGAAGGTACTTGCATTCCAGTGTTGGTAGGGGTGCGTGGGATGATGACAGAAATTCCTTTGCCTTTAATTGCCGGGTGTGTGTGGAGAGGGTGTCCAGGTGTTTCAAACTGGACTGGGCTGTAGGTACTATTGTAGAATGTGACGTCTTTTCTTAAGTATACTAGAGTTGTATATGCCGCTTCCATTTCTACTTTGATGTGGAGAGGCAGCAACCCCGCAAGGACAGTCACCGCACTTGTTACAGTTGTGCGAAAGGCTTTCGTGAGGTTGAGGCGAAAGGGCGTTGGACGGTAGTCAGTAATTTGATTTTACGAGCGCCCATTGGGTGGGCCCAGGCAGCGGCAGCGTACGTGGCGATCTTCTCTGCCACAGTGTGATATAGGATCTTCTGTATATGATGGTTCTGCCTCCAATTTTGCCCTTGAAAGGTGCGTGCCTTCCTTGCAATGGTGATAGTTTTCTTTCTGATGTCTTGAATGTGCGGGAGCCACGTGAGTCCTTGATCTCAGAGAAGGCCTAGATGTTTAAGAGTTGAGACTATCTTGATGTTTTGATTGTGCAATTTGATACAAGGGCGGCGTGATGGATTTGTACCTGCCCTAGGGATGCCAAAGGCCATGGATTTCTCAGTGGAAATTTTGAGTTTTAATGCAGTGCACATATTTCGTTTTCGAATATGGTACATGTTGCAGTCCCATTTCTTTCTAATTCCTCCTCCGTGTGCGTCCCTTGACCAGCAGAGCGACGTCGTCTGCGTAAGCAACAACTGTAGTATGCTGTGGCCAGTCAGCTTCCAGCACCAGAATTGACAAGTTAGGTTCCAGAGAAATCCGGTCCGGCGCAGGAGCCCTGGGGGCATTCCTCGCTCCTAGGCTTTGGTGGTTGTGCCGTTGTCGTTGGAAATTAAAAAGCTTCGGTTCTCCAAATAGCTATTAAAGGTGTTAAAGATATTTTGCTGGGCAGCGTGCTATTTCTGAGGGCTTGTTTTATAGCAGGCCACCAAGAGGGTGTCGAACGCGCTCTGCAGGTCGATGGAGATGAAGGCCGTATGATATCCCGTAGCTCTGTTGCGTTGTATAGTGTCCCGGATAGTACAGAGAGCATGTGTGGTGGAGAGACGTGGTCGGAATCCGAACTGTCTTGAGCTGAGGAAATTGGTCACGTGCAGGTGATAGGACAGCCGTTGGACAAGTAGTTTTTCATAAATCTTACCCATTGCGGATAAAAGGCAGATGGGTCGATAAGAGCGCAAATCTTGTGCGCTTTTATTTTTCTTTAAGAAGAGAACTACTTGTCCTTGTTTGAAGGCCTGTGGAAAAATTTGTAGATGAAGAAGTCTATTGAAGAAGTTGCTGAAGAATGATGGACATGCATTGTA